CGTTGCTACAACTTTAAAAGCACAACTACAATGACGTGGGAAAATACTCGAACAAAGCTGAATGCCATACATACATACATACATATACATATATACATATATACATATATACATACATACATACATACATACACACATACATACATACACACACACACACACTACATTATATACTTTATATATGGCTCAGGCAAGGCAAAAGTTGAACATTCACATTCTACAGCATTCTTGACAGTTTCTCGTACAGGAGAGTTTCCCAAATTATAATCTGTACCACTCTCTCCTTGTTAGCTAATACTCTAGAGAAATCAGGCCAATGGGGTTTTCTAAGACACTAGTCCACCCATTCAGGTAATGCTGGTACATTCGATCAACTGATTATCCTAACTAAATAGACCTGCATACTTATGCTATTCTCTTCCCAAATCATGATCCTTTCTTCTAATACACACTGTCTCTTCATTCTCCCCCTTCATCTTGTTTTATAGGAATCAATATTAGGGTTGTATCTGGGAAGATTCCAAACTTTGTGTTCCGTGTTCTTTAAATCAGCCCAATATCACAGTTCATGACTGCCACAAAAGAGTCATAGTGCAAAGCTGTACCGCAGTAGGGGTTATTATACAGAACAGACTTCCACTCCCCCAGATAAAATGTTTAAAATTCTTCAGATATTTGCTAAAAGTCCTGAAGCTTTCAAAACCAACCCCTAAAGAAAAAGTTAAGGAGTGAAATTGTGTTAGCTTATTGGGATTGACATAAAAGTTTATGTAACATTTGCTGGATTGGATTTTGGCTTTGAACTGATATGGATGAGAAAATAGTTTTCCTGAACTTGGACCATTTTCTTCTAATCTCAATGTTTGTATAAAGTGAAATGTGTGTCTTGCACAAATCAAACACACTTCAGAAGAATATTTAAACTATTTAGCAATTCAGATAGACTGTGATTTATTTATAGATTTATTCTTGCAGTTTATGGTATCTTTCTTGGAAAAGTCAAATTATTGTTGTTATAGTTGTTTTATCTAGAAATAATTTAGTTAAAAAATTAATTTCTTTTCAGTGGGATAACAGATTGACATTTTAAGGCTTTCCCCCCCAGAGAATATGAAAGAGTATTGTTGCACACAATGTACATTCTTGGCTTTTTTCTTGCCCCTTTAGTATCTTGATTTGGCAAATTTTTATTCTGCTTCAAGGAGTGGAACATTACTTATTCAGCTTTACAAATCCAATCTGTATGATACATCTTTATTTACATTAACTCTAATGTTGTTAAAATTATCTAAAATTCTATTATATTTGTTACTTCATATAATTCAAAACACAAATTTATTTAAAGTCAATTTACTTCAGTGCTATCAAAAAAGAGGATCCTTCTATATCTCTGTAGATGTCATATAGAAAATGATATGAGCACATTAATAATCTTATAGAAATGCTAGTGTGCTATTATTAGGATTGAACAAAGTGGTACCATATGTGGGTGGAACTTTTCTGATTTTTATATACGTGTAATATAAATGGCTTAGGAAATTAAGTCAAATTTTATATCCCTCCCCCCATCCCCCAAAAAGGGAGAAACGTCTGTATCAAGAGTGTATAACTTTTTATGGGCCAAAAACAGTAGTTGATTTTTAAGTGGCCAAGTTTACACTACCAAAACTAGAGGATAGAAGAAAAGCCAATTTGGTTTAGTTGTATTTACATCATCATTAGAATTAAATTAAATATAGTCAATACTGTTACTCTATCATACATTTAAACAATGGTCTCCTACTTTCACTTTACAAGTGACTTATTAATATTTATATTAATACTCATTAAGCTAAGGCAGCTTCCCCATTCTTGGACCCATCATCAGATATATTAGAATGATATCCATTATTTTCCACCAGCATATTTACTCTGACTTGATTAGGAATTAGCTAAAGCATTTTGTTGTGTGAGCTTTGGGTTATTATATTATTTTGCCTATTATAATGTTTTGAAAGTTGTATTAAAAATCACTCAATCAAAAGATGAATCTAAGCCTTCTAAATAAGCAATACATTTGCCTATCAGTGTGGATCTGGCAGAAGGGTTTTCACAGGATCTCATTATAAGCTCTTGTTCATACATTACCTATTCACAGGTATCAGGCCATAGTTTTCATGTTTAAACCATCTGTTCATTTTCCTCACATACAGCCAGTCAGAAATGGCTCTTGGGAGGGCGTCTTTGAGGAATGATTCAAAGCGAGTTACAAGCAGCATGTCCCAAGGGTATCCTTTGTCCCAGACACGACTCATTATCCAGGATCCACTTCTAGAGCTGATGCAAACCTTTAAAAAACAAGGAGAGGATACCAAAATATGAAATCCATATTCAGGGGCCATGCATACCACCCTCTCAACTCCCTTCCATATTCAAGGTATTTTTAATTACGTTTGGAGGCTTCTCACACTGTGAGAATCCAGAGTGTATAAACATTTTCTGTTTGCAGAACGATTAGGCTTCATTGTGGCTTAATATATTATGTTAACACAGTCTCTATCATTCTAACTATCAACTATAGCTTAATATTGGCTGTATACCTCCAGTTAAGCTATGGTTTAACACAATGCGAAGTCATATTAGATCACTATGACAGATTGGCAAAAATTTTCCAAGGTTTTAGAGTGAAGTGTCCATATTGTGCTAATGGAAAATTCCTCCACGTGGATGTATTAGAAATTGAACTTGAATCCTAACCCTAACCCCAACCCTAACACTCTTGTATAATCCCTAATTTACCTCATTATAATCCCTATTTCTTCTCATTACGCTATGTGCAAATCAGTGCAAGCAAAAAACACTTTTAAGATTTTTTGAAATAGACCCTCTAGGAAATGGCACAGCTTTGGATAGGTTACTCTGAGAACTAGAATAACTAAAACTAGAATTGAGGACCATCAGGGTAGAGGCAATACCTGAGAGGCTGTGTGACTGAGCTCAACAGCAATGTCGCTCCCAGAATTGCCTAGGCCAATTACCAGAACTTTCTTCCCCCTGAACTTTTCAGGGCCTTTGTATTCCCGGCTGTGGAAGAAGGCACCCTGAAATTTCTCTAATCCTGTGTGAAAAAAGTTTGAAAACAAATTATGATTGTAACAATTGAAATCTTCCAGCAAAACCACTGATGTAGCAGACTGAAAGCATATGGAAGTCTGACTTGGATGTACATCTTGTGTTTTCCCACTGATACTATTCTTATCATCTCAGCTTCTATTATTACTGTTTCCTAGAGTAATTGGTCTGAATGCCCCATTGCCCTTAAAAATAAAGCTTACTGCTAGCCAAAGGGATTTTCTTTATAGCTTTGGAGGGAAGAATAGTGGCACAGGAGAAAATGGTTTTAAAATTCCTTCTCATCTGCCATGATTCCAATCCAGTTCCACACTGCTAGCAACTACTGTTAAAAGTAAAGCTGATATATTAATGTAGTTATGTATTTAACTTTAGGCTCAGTTTTGCTTTCAAATAACTATGAGGAAGAAGATACAATGCACTTGTATCAAGAAAAAGTATGAGAATCTCTTGTATCACTCATAGAAACAATTCACAAAGTATGTTTCATCGTTTGTGGTTTATCAAAGGTTGGTTCTGTTTAGTCATTATGAAAAACATAAAACTCTCCATGTTAAGAATGGAGAAGCAACACCCCTTTTAAGCTGTGCTGATTAAGTCAGAGACGGGCATGTTTACCACAATATAGATGCCTGCCCAGCAAATACCTTACATCTACTGTTGTATGTGAATTGGATTTCATGTGAGCCCAAAACCTGATATGCAGGATCAGAGGTAGTGTGGAAACACACATATATGTACAATATTAAAGGGGGCAGGGCTGCTCCCTCCAGTCAGATAATAACTTCCATTGATTTTAACAAATCCTAAGTAGGACATGTCTTCTTGCTGTTTTTCCATATCTATTTAATATATTTGTCACTTACCAGGAAAGCTATCAACTGGGATACTTGGATACACATGATGTCCCGAGCAAACCATGACAGCATCAAAAGTAAGTGATTCCAGCTTGCCATCCTTCTGTGTCTCAACATTCCATTGGCCAGAGATATGGAAATCTGAGTGTTTCTTAATATTGGTCACACGTGTCTTTGAAGAAACAGTCAAGGACATATTTATTTATTTATTTATTTAAATAATGTATATGATTGCCTATCTCACAACTGTGGGTCTGGGCTGCATACAAACAAAGGTTGTGTTTAAGCAACACTACAATAATCAGTGATGCCCAAATATATCATACATTATATCCCTGTCATAAAAATCACACTAACAACACAGCTGGCTTAACTTCCTGGCCCTAATGCTTGAGGAATTAGTATGATTCAAGATCCAAAGCAACTATATATAAATGACTACTGATGACATCTAATTGGTGTGAATGGATGCATCATTATGAGATATATGTGCATAGATATTATATATGGGTATATATAATTCTTCTCAGTGGAATTAAAAAATTGACAAAAGGATCATGTAATCCAATCCTATACAAGTTTACTTGTGTAATAAAACTTATTCCTAATCTCTATCTATGTGATTGCTAAGAGTTGAAAGTGACTTAATGGGCTCAATCAATCAATCAATCAATCCCTAATAAATAAATTTAGGATTGAAACCTGTAATATCTATGTCTTAATCTGTGCAGTATGCTAAACCAAACGTTGACAATGCAGCACTCAGTAATGCCAAAATGCCCATGATGCTTTGGATCACGTATAAATAACTTCAAATTATTAAATTTTACTTTAAATGGCAAAATTATTGTAAGATTGCTAACCCTTGCAAGATATCTGTTAAGAACACTAAGGACTGTGGGATTTTAGGATTGATATTTAAGGCATGTTCTTTAAAAACAAAATGGGGACAAAGCTGTATCGAAATAGTTTCCAGTATCTGAAAAGCTTGCCAAGTCTGCATGAAGCCATAATAGTGAAAACACCATGATTTATGTACCTCAGTATATGATCAGCCACTTAAAGGAACCCAGTTTAAACAAATTATATTAGGAACACAGATCTCCTCTCCATAATTCATCCTCAGCTTGAATTCAACATTTATAGTCAGAGAGAAAAACAGGCTCTATTTCAGATCTTCTCTTGTGAAAATTAGAATAATGTTCAAGTCAGGAGTTCAGCACATTAGGATTATGCAAAAGGTTAAACCAGTGCCAGTTATTAATTATATTTATTCGTTACAAATTCAACTGAGAGAATCTCGTGAATTATAAATTTTCACTAAACCAAAGAAAAGGCAATGCCAGGGATATAGACAGAAGAAATGCAAGGTATTATTGTTATTCTGGTTCAAACAAGAACTGAGCCAACAGCAGCCATTTTTGTTTGCTCTTCTAATCCTATCATCTTGCTTTACTCACAGAATTTAATGAGAACCCTAGAATGTTTTTTTTCATTTGTTATCCTCTCATTATTTTTCCCTTCTTCCATCAATTTTCCATCCAGAAGTCTTTCAAGACCTAGCTTTGTCCCAGGAAACTGGTGAGATCATTGCTAATCAAAGTGTTTGTGTTCACGGTTTAGGTTTTTGTAACTTTTTAATATGATTGTGTGTGGCATGTATATTGTTTTACACAGTTTTTGCTCTGCACTATCCAGAATCACTTCCTGACTATATAAATTTGACGAACAAATAAATAATAAAACATATTTTGACTGTTATCCAAGATCCATAAACAGCAGCACAAATCAGTATTTTTGTAGTCTACAAACTAAATATGAACCAGCAGTGAAAGGCAATTGTTAAAAATCCCTTCTCAATCAGCTTATAATCACTTACCTTAAACTGTATGTATTTAAGAAGATCAAAATGCTTGGCATATAGTTCAATATATTCTTGAAGTTTGGAGTTGTGCATATAGTTAGGAAAATTCTCTGGGAAAGGGAAGTCCATGTAGCACATCATTTCTTTGCATGAGTTGGTAAACACAGATCTGTAAATGCTGGCTCTGCCTTCCTCTGGTGACTCCTGGCAGAGAAAGGAAAGCAAAGATGAAATTGAAATTTCTTTAAAGAAACAGAATTGCAGAAAGTGGAAATATTTTCTGTTAACTTGAAATTTGAGGTGCTAGATTTTTCTCAGCTGTGTTTGTTGTACAAACAAAAAGGGGCAGGTAAGGATGGTATTTTCCATTGAGAGAAGTGATGGATCATTTTGAACTTGTCCATAAGATCTAGGCTTGCTATCCCAATTTTATTTGCTTGCAACAACATGGCAAGGAAAAAGTTCTTAAATCAGCCATTGGGACACCCAAACAAAAGGTGGGCCAGAAGCAATCAAAATAGCTGACTGACACAAATAAAATACATTATTCATGAAGCAAGCAATACTTATAAAACAAGATATATCTATTTTTAAAACAGACCTTTCTATAGCTATTGTAAACAACACTGTAAATAATTAGCACGGAAAGCCCCAAGGGGAGCAGTCTTTCATTGTTGCAGCTTAAACATGGTATCTATGTGCCAATGGCCAAATAGAGATGGAAATTAGAATATCAATTGGATTGGAAGATGCATCCAATATGAGATATATGCAATACAACAGTTACCCAGATTGGATCCTGCAACATTATCCTTCATTCAAATTTTGCCTTCATTTGTGAGAAGCTAGTACTTCGAACAGTTCGACTTTGGGAATCCTTCACAGCACGTGAGGTGTCCACTTATGCATAGAATAGCCCAAAGCACACATTCTGGTGAGAGAGTAGTTGCCTGAGGAAGGGCTCCAGCACGAGTCTGAAAACTCAGAAAACCAGACCTCTGATCCTGATGACTGACCCATTGACTCCTGCAAAAGTAGTTACTGTTTATCTCAGCCTTGTGGTTGCCACCAGTGGCAGCTTCATTGCCCTCCCCCAAGAGTCTAGTGCAGTATTTCCCAACCTTAGCAACTTTAAGACGAGTGGACTTTAACTCCATGGCTGGCTGAGAATTCTGGGAATTGAAGTCCATTCGTTTGGATTCTACAATTGAGAAACATTAGTTAGAAGACTCTAGGACATCTGAGGCATTTTTTATCCCATGAAGGATAAGGCTAATAGTCCTATGAATCATACAATCACCAAAAGGGCAAGTAATTGAATTTGTTGGAAGAAAGCCAGGTTTCATAAGATTTTTTTTGTCAAGAAAGAAGAAAGAAAAGTGGCAGTTTTCTCTTACAGATTCTATTTAATCTTTCTTTGTTTAAGAAGAGTCTTTGTGAGGCTGGGAAATACTAATCTACACTTGCCTCAGGCAAGTTCACAAGAGTACAAATTGTTCTTAATAGGGATGGGGATTATACTTGCAATTCTATCAAAAACATTTTTAAATGTCAGAAGAGGGATCAGCAATCAGTGACATGTAAGCCAGATAACTACCATGGAATGTCAAAATTCAAAGTTTAGAGCACAGCTTATTTCCAAAGAGAATATATATCTATTTCTGAGCATTGGGTGGCTGACTATTGTCTGAAGAATCTGAAGAATATTTTTGGGGATGGCAGCCAAGAATTTTTTTTCTGGAAAAAAAATTAGGAAGAAGGAAGAAAATGACTGCCTTTGTGCCACAGGCAGGACTAGAATTCATAGTCTCTTGGTTTCTAGCCTGGTGCCTTAACCAGTATACCATTTCTCATTTAAGAGACTGTACTTTGGGGCCTGCTCTAATTTATGGGAACTTCCCTGATTTATCCACTTGCCTCAGTGCTAGCCTTCAATCATTTCTTGAGGGCAGGAATTGTACAACATTGTGCTCTAGCCGTCCCTCGCCCACTGAGAAGGCAATCTCCACTCCTCATTTTCTGCATTGCATAAAAGTGTTTTCCAAGTTGTGCTGCCTCAAAGTGGAAGAGTTTAGATCTGCAACAGATTTCCTGCAACAGATTTCCATAGAAACAAATCTGTAAGCTTTTTCAGAACCAACTCTTTTTTCTTTCTTTTTAAAATCCTGAGTCAGATTGACAAGATTTCTGCCACTTTCCCCTTGTAGCCTGAGTGGCAGGAAAAACAAGAACACTGGTGTTTTTGTCTTTTTCTTTTGCTGCTCCGGGGGTATTAAAAAAACAGGGAATTCTACAATCAGAAGCTGTGGAAAATGCAATCCAGACAGAACATCAGCCCAAAGGAGGAATCATCTGAAATCTGGACATGAACTTCTTAAACCTTCATTTCCAGCTGGTTTACTCTTAGGAGTCCAGCAGTTTAAGGCTGAAGTGCAGAAAAACCCTACAGCCTTCACAAAGAGCTTGTTAGTTTCAAAGCAATCCAAAAGATTAAGATGGCCAGTACTCAGTCAAGCAGCACTTCATGTTACTCAACATGTTTGCACTTGGATTAATATTCTGCAGATGGCTATGAAAGATTGCATAATGAAAACAAAGCACCACAGCTTATTTCCAGGCAACAAAAAGAAGACAGATGTCAAAGTCCTATCAAATAACACTTATTAACTTGAAGAGAGACTTTTCATGTTATGAGCTGTCCTAGCCTTGCAATACAGTTAATTTTTTCCTGCTATTTTCTGCATTAACTACCGCATTGTCTTTTGCAAACATATATATAAGTAACAATTGCAAACTACTATTTGTAGTAATACTAGTTTATTGAAAAACATTTATCTGGAGTATTTATAACTTGCTTTAATCTTCCACACTGGGAATCCTTACTCACATATTTGCAGTCTAAAATATACAACCAAACAAATAAGTGGAAGCAAAGCAAAGTGAAACATGAGCTTTCAGATACCCAATTCTTGTTTTAAAATGGATCTTTAAAATTTAGCTGTAACATTTAATGCTTTTGCAAATTGGAAATAGAAACTGTTCAAAGAGATTACAATATAATAACGATTTGTTGAGTTAAACTTGACTCCTGGGGATTTCCTATACCTTTCTTGACGAACTATGGAAGCAGTTGGCCACTTCTTAATCTAGCCTACAATAAGATCCATAAATGATTTCCCAGTTAAGCCAAGGGCTCTCTCCCTTATGCCTTCTCATACTAGAGCCAGAGGAAGAGCTAGCTGGATGACATGTGGGAGGTGGGAAGGAGATAGGAGATAAAGCCTGATGGACCCAGTGAACAGAGTGCTGTCTGAACTCAATTGTTTGCTTACAGACATCAACAGTGCCAAAGTTACCTAATCAGGTAATGAAACATATGAAAGTGAACAACCAAGCTCAAACAGCACCAAGAACTCCACAAAGTCTGATGGAGCTATTGAGGGTGGAGATCATTTTCATTTCTGCTCTTACTGAATCCTAGAAGAAGAGGTTTATGGCTCACCCAATGGGATCAAGATTTATGAATACCTTCACTTAATCAGCTGAAATTGTTCATCCATACAATCAAAAATGTCAATCCATCAACCAGCCAACTAATTTTGACAGCCAACTCAAGAGAAATAAACTATGTGAAATATCATTCCTTTTCCATTTTCAGTTCCTAAGTCTGCTTCAGTATCTCATACAATTGTATTCCATTTGGAGAGAAATCTGATGAAGGGTACTTGGAGCCAGCCCAATGTGCTTTCACACAATATGTAATTAGATTTATTAAAATGAAAAAGGACTCATTTGGTAAACAGGAAGGAAGGGCAGCAGGCAGTAATCTCATGGGCTAGCATTTCAAATCTTCCCCTCAAATCTCTAATTGCAATTTCTTACACATTGGAGTAGGGGGTATTGTTGCAGAACCATTACATCATCATCCTTTGATGACACTAGCTCATATTTGACTGTGAATTTTTAGGCACTGATCTCTCTCACCCCTTCTATCTTTCTTTCAGATTCCAGGAGTGACCAAGTCAAGCATAAGTCATCTATCTATTCCCAACTTCCATACCTTCAGGCTATAAGTCTGAAGAGGAACTGTGCCCATTTTTTCTTGAATTCTATTATAGCTCTGTGTGATCTGAGACCTGCTCAATGCAAAGAGTAAAGGAATGGAGTAAAGAGATACAGTAATATGAATGACACCTATATTCTACCAAAGTTTCCTAGCCTTGGTGATCTGAAGATATGCAGACTTCAACTCTTAGAATTCCCCAGCCAACAAGGCTGGTGACTGTGGGAATTGAAGTCTACACATCTTCAAGCTGCCATGGTTCAGAAACATTGCTCTACCTATTTAAAATGTACCCTGAAGTGAATAAAACTGCGGTCAGTACTTTTGCATACACTCTAACACGTTTCTATACATTTTTCACTACCCACTATAAACAATATCCCTGCAAATCTAAGATATCTCGAGATAAGATCTAAAAAGATATCAAATATTTTGCCAACCAAAGGAACAGACATGGGGTGCACCAGGTATAAGAAGAGCTCCAGCATACCCAAGTAAGTTTCAAGCCCAGTACATTTGTCACACAAATGGGATATTTAGATCTCACCATGAAGCTCCACAATCCGCCAATGTTCTCACTCCTCTCAAAGCATGTTGGTTCGAGTCCCTCATCCAGGCAGCATTTGATGGATGCGAGGCCACTCACTCCTGCTCCAATAATTGCTACACGGCATACCATGGTTACCTAGTAGGAAAGGAATTGTTCAAACCAAGCTTGTTCTTGCATTAAGAGCCATGCTGGCACAGTGGTTAGAATGCAGTATTGCAGGCTAGCTCACTGTTCACTGTCAGGAGCTCAATTCTGACCGACTCAAGGTTGACTCAGCTTTCCATCCTTCTAAGGTCAGTAAAATGAGGGCCCAGATTGTTGGGGGCAATATGCTGACTCTATAAACTGCTTAGAGAGGGCTGTAAAGCATTATGAAGCAATAGATAAGTCTAAGTGCTATTGCTATTAAAAATGAAAATGGTATACAACAAAATCACAGCAACCAAACACTGATTACAGTTAGATATCCACTGTTGCCCCTTTATTTCTCCCCAGTGATGCCAGTTTACCCTTGTGAGTCATTTTCCTTAGCCTCTAAGTTCTAGGCAAACATTTTAAAGTATCAATAACTTTTAGGAGCCTCATAATCCAAATAGATACACCTGGATTTTCCAGGTGGAAATGCCTCTGCAAAGAAGAATCTTTCTCAAAAAGATTTTTGGCATTGTCCCGAAGCATGGACATCCCTTCCTATACTTTCCAGTTTCAGGAATGCTGTTCTAAGGAATACAGAACAAGAATCAGAACAGAAATATTGCTTTAGTTTTTCACCCCCTCCCCTTCCAGCTCTTGACCTGTTACTCTTATATTTGCCACTGCCTCCACACACATCACCTTACTTCTTTCGGCTGTTGCCCTCCTCCTTGTTCTGTCAGCTTCTTTACAGCACACAAGTGACCCTGGCAAGAAGAGCCAAATGTATTTCTCTACTGGTTTTGGAGGTTGGCTCTGAAAGATAGGAGGAGTTCCTCTAGAGCAAGATTACATAACTTGTGGGCCGATTGTGGCTCCTAAGTGTTGGCAGCCTTTGGGAAAAAGGCTACACAAAAGGCTACACAAAAGGGAAATGAGCAGCTCTTTAAAGAAGAATGGGAACTACCTGACTCCTCAGGTGTCTGTTGTGGAAGGCTGGTCAAGTTTGTTAGAAAATGGATACTAACTAGGCTAAGACAGTTAAATGTCATCAAATGAAAAGTGATCAAATCAGTTTAGATTTGATACACTGATGTTCAGCTGACAATGACTGAAACTCATAAAGGAGTTGTGGGTTGTGATCACTATATGATAAAAACATTAACTAAGTTAATGGTTGTTACCAAAAATATATCCCATGCTAGAAATCATTAGGAAAGCTTCCAAAGTTGGCACATTTCAAATACTGCAAACCATTTTGATCACTGCACTTCCAGAAACCTACTGTAGAGCTGGTGACATTTCAGAAAATGGAAATTAACATTATTGAAAGTCAAGAGCAACTTTTAGTTAGAAAGGGATAAGTCTGTAGACATGTTTTAACTACCTTACATATTTTGTGCACAGTGTATTGACTGGGCCAATATACTTTTATAATAATAATAATAATAATAATAATAATAATAATAATAATAATAATAATAATAATAATAATAATAATAATACAATTAAATATACATAATCTTTGTCTTCCAACTTCCAACATTAATATGCACATTATAATTGTAATAGATTCTTTTATATATCAATGTATATAATACTATTTTCCCAATATGTGCTTGGTTTTTTTTAACCATTTGTTAGGGTTCCTCTATATTCACATATATGTCTGTAAACAATACCTTTCTCTCTTTATAATCCTTTATCACTTTCTCCATAAATATATTTAAAGATCAATAACATTTCTTCATACAGAAGAAATGTCTCTTCATACAGAAGAAATTTCATATAGAAAAGGATAGGTTGTTTGCACTCATTTAAGTAAAAAACAAAACAGGAAAAGGAAAACAAGCCTCAAAAAGGAAATGGATCTTCCCAATCTAGGATCACAAAAGCAAACTAAATGAGAAATTCAGTTCATACATTTTTTAAACAATACAGGGCTAAATTATGGAATCTGCTAGAAGAACATGAAGGGATGGCCAACTTGGAATGCTTTAAATGTGGATTAGAAAAAAATAATGGAAAACTATGCAGGCATATACTACCTCAAGGTCAATAGGTATAGCTCTGACCGCAAGCTGTGGCAGAAATAAAGGGGTGGGCCTCAGTTCAGCAGAATGCTGGCATAAATAAGGTTTTGATACAGTAAAGTTCTTTAATGCAATGGTGGGATGCTGCCAGTCAGACCGGTTCAAGCAAATCGGTAGTTCCAACCATCAGCTGGCCCCACTCATCCGCCCCTGCCCTATCCTGTCCTTTATTTCCTTCTTTTGGGCTCAGTTGATTTGCATGGCACAGCTGATTTCCATGCCTCAGCTGTTCTACTTGCTGGGGCTGCCCTAGAAGGTAAGCAGTTGAGCTTCAATTTGCTTTATTTTGAATGCTCCACGCATGTGCGAAGTGTGTGCGCGCACTCACAGAACCGGTTGTTAAACCAGTTGCAACCCACTACTGTTTTAATGCCTGACCTCTTGAATCCACTGTCTCTATTTCAAGTTACTTAAGTGTAACTACTCTGAGAAAGAAACTGCTAAATGGCAGATTTTTATTTCCACTCAGCAATCAGGAGGTGGTTCTGTTGCAACTAGAATTTAAGGCAGGATTATATGATTATTAGCCAAGATATATATGCAGAGAAAGGGGCAAAGGTAATGAAGGGGCACCGAATGCAACATGTTTGAACAGGTTGCTTCAACTTGCAACTTGCTTCAGCAGCTTGAACACTGACGTAAATTTGAGAAAATTGAGGTCTCTTGTGACAATCTGGGTGAAAGGAAATGCAAGGCAAATGTTTATAGAAAACTCCTGTAGCTAATTCTCCTTGAAAAGTCTTTCTTGGCAGAGAAGAGGCCGTTTACAAACTGAGCTGCAGCCACTCAACATTTTTATTTTCCAACTTAGTTAAAAACCAAAGGAATTCTGGAAACTGGCCTTTGTTTTTGTGGCATGCCAGCATCCTTCAGAATGGCATTCAAAATTAAAATCAAACTTTAAAGACAATTACAAAGTAGAGAGAGGCAAGAAACGTGGGAGCATCAAGGGAAATTTCAGTGGGAACTTTGGACACCATGCTGGGATCCCAACTTAAAGTTACAAGTGCTGCAGCCACTACCACTTATTTCTTTCATCTACAAGTGTCCAGTACTTCCCTTGGTATAAGGGAGGTGATTTGTATCAACATGTACCCGAGAGGTTTTGGCAGAGCTTACTTCTGCTGAATCCCATAATTTCTACTATAATTGACGCAAATACCATCAGGACAACTGTCCATAGTTTCTATTGCTCAGTTCTCTGCTAGGAAAGATAAGAGAAAGGAAAATAGCTTTAGCTGCCCAGTGGTGACAAAGATGTGGAATTGCAGTGGTAGAAACAATATATATATAAAAACTGCCTTAAAAACTTGAAGCTGTGAACTAAGTCAGAGAAAATAGTGAATTAAGTAGAGAAACAAGCACAGAAGAACTTCTGAAGAAGAATCTCTTTGTGACAGAAGTTGAGAGGGAAAACATTACATAGCATACATGAAATAGCAGGTATTATTTGGAATGAATTCTGTGAAAGCTTGTAAAATAAAGCACAGAAGTTAATAAATGGTGATACTTTTACCCAGTTCCTGTCCACCTGCACAAGAGAGCCTCTGCAATATCCGTACAATGAAGCTGAAATAATGCTTAATGCATAGTATTTCCCAACCTTATAAGGAAAGAAAAAGAACATACTGTTCCAGAAACCCAATAAGAACATTGTGAAACTACTTCAAATTCTTTATATTTAGTGGAGAGTAGTTGATTTTTTTTCTACTGTTATATCCCCTTCTGATTTTTCATATCTCTTGGAAGGATCTATAATGCAAAGGGGTATATAATTGCTGCCATGTATAGTAGAAAAAAGAATTGTAAATCCTCCTGAGTTCTGATCAGCTGTTGGTCCAATCCATGTTATCTTGTGACAGAAGAAGATACAAAGACAGAACTGCTTTTTAAAGTTCAGAACAGCTGTTTTTTTTCTAAAACCATAATAATTTAGTCATTTTTTGTGCATTACAATACACTGATAAGGAAAATTTGCAAGGCATGGAGATATAAGAACTATGAATACAAATGTGTAAAATGTTATCTATCTATCTATCTATCTATCTATCTATCTATCTATCTATCTATCTATCTAGATATAAAAGTAAGGTGTGTGTGTGTGTGTGTGTGTGTGTGTGAGAGAGAGAGAGAGAGAGAGAGAGAGAATGTGTGTGCCTTGGAGATCTTGGCTGAAGGAAAAAAAGGAAGAGATGCTGAGAATTCCTAGGTTTTATACCCTCTCTGGCTTTGAACTTCCTGGGGCACAGGAAAAGTATCCTGATTGGTTGCTGTCCAAGGTCATACCTAGCTTTGTAGATTGTTGGTGTGCTAAGTTTGGTTGAATCTTGCTGGGTGATGCAATGAAGGGCAATTAAATGGCTCTGCCTGAAGGAGGTAGATCTTTGTTATGTAGAATAAACTAGTTCAGGCCTTAATGGCCCATTAACAAAGCTGGCGGGGCTGAGTTTCTACCTCTCTTTTAGGGGAAATATTCTGCCCTCTTAATATTTCCTAGAATATTTCATTTTCCTAGGAGAGGGGTGGGTTTTAACTTCCTACATAAGTATGAAAATATTAAAATGTTACAAATGCAATTGGAAAATGTACCTCTGTTTCAGGGTCCAGGCTAAATAATTGTGTGATCTTTGTCTTGGCAAAGTTCTAAAATGATTGGCAAGCATAACAGAATTTCTGAAAAAACCAGATGATGAGGAAACTAGATGGATGGTGCTGCATGTCATAAGGTAAAGAATGGAGCAAAGACCCTTGTTCCACAGAGTTTTCTATCTTGATTTTTGAAAAAATGCGCCAAAAGGAAATGCCTCATAAAAGACATTTGTTTTTTTAATAAAACAATTAGAAAGATCTTCAAAGGGT